TCAGTCATTTAATTCAGCATCGTAATACGTCTTAGCCCAGCGATCATGAAAAGCTTTTGCCTATTAAAAATGCACAAGTCTGATTGATTTGTTCATTTATCTAACGTTAACAAAGCATGCACGCTCTTAGTTATAATTTGCTTCAAAATTGTAGATGCCTGAAGCGATTCATCGAAAAGAATATGCTTCGCGACTTTGTTAATTACTTGTTTGCTTCTGATGCCAAGTCCCGCTTTCCTGATTAAACCGAATATTGGCTAGCGAATTGTAGACTGATAGCTCAGGTTGTTCAGATGGCGGTTTAACGGTTCGCTGAGCTTGGCGATTTTGTTGCAAACGTTTCGTCACCAATAATTGAATAAATTGTATATGGCTCGACGATGCGAGAAGCCGTTCCCAGAAGGGACGGATCAAATAATGGTACAGCAGTTTCATATCATGGTATAATAAATTTTAAAAAATGTGAGCACAAAATGAAAATTTGTGTAGCGCGAAGCGGTCCAAAATATTTACGTTTCTCTTGTTCTATCGTCTGACAAGTTTTTAGCAGTCACATGAGAGTGGATCGCACACGAGAAAAAAAGAGAATAAAGTGCTGCGGGCCAACAAAATATAACCACTTGTGCACGTGACCACATGCATTTTCAGGCAACATTAACTCCGTTCTCAAAAGCGTTATCTAAGGACTGTGCTGTTCGAAACATTATTATCATATTTTGAACGGTTAAATAATCTTTTATCGAAAACTTAAACAAACGCAATGTGCTACAAGTTCTGATAGCTCTTGGAAGTTTGTTCCAAAGCTTTGAGCAGTGTAGTAAGAAGAAACGCTCCCTAATTCGCGTATTGAACTTTGGAATCATGACCGTTGTCTCCTTATTTCGTAGCTCGTATCTAGTGTTAACGGCCATATGGACACAGTTAGCATAATTGTGCATGTGATGGTGAATTATTCTGTACAGGAAACACAAGTTCATCTTCATTATCCGTAACCAAATTGGGTCAAGTCCAAGTTTTTCACTGCGCTCTCTGTAGGTCATCTTGGAGGAATATCCGCACAGCTTCTTTGTAAAGCGTCGCTGTACCCTCTCAAGAGCATGCTGGTCAGATTTCCGCAGATTCGACTGTAGTGGTGAACAGTATTCCATGCCAGGTAACACATATGTTTTATAAAGCCAGATACGAGATTCTGTGAGTTGAAATTTATGACAGATATAGCCAATAGTCTTCATGGTTTTCGAAACTTGGAAGTCACAATGTTCCGAAAAGTTGAAGGTAGTGGAATACCGCACACCCAAGTCGCGAATCACGTTGCACTGTGATATAAACGTGCCTTGTAATAATAGACTATCTGGTGGAACTTCGCATCTGTACGACAGAATATTACATTTGTCCACGGAAAAGGACATCTGCCACAGTTTGCTCCAGGATTCAAGTGCCGATAGATCTTCCTGAAAGTGGCACAAGGCTGCGCGGGTATCTGCACGTTCTTGCGAGTAGACGATTTTAATGTCATCAGCAAATGGAAAAGTAGCACCATGTCTTATTCTATGAAATACATCGTTGACGTAGAGGAGAAAAAGAATTGGACCAAGTACACTTCCCTGAATTACTCCACTGGTGACTGCTTTCGGTTTAGAGACACGGTCCGCAATACGCACCACCTGATGTCTGTCAGCTAGGTATGACGACAACCAAGAAAACATTGGTTCTCCAATACCTATTTCCTTCAGCTTGAGGAGTAGTCTTCGATGCGGCACTCTGTCGAATGCTTTTTGCATGTCTAAGAACAGGACAATAACACTGTTGCCTTTGTCTATGGCAGCCGTTGTGTGGTTTAAGAAGTCTGTCTGGCATGTCGCACAAGATCTGCCCTGCAAAAAACCGTGTTGTGAATTGTTGATGACGTTTTTCTTATTCAAGAAAATAAGTAATTCATCTTTCACTATCCTTTCCATAATTCTAGATATTACAGGTGTGTGGTTGATGGGGCGATAGTTTTTAATTTCGTGAACGTTTCCATTCTTATGCCGCGGTATGACAACGGAAGTCTTCCAGTGCTTAGGATATACTGTACTGTTAAAAGAGAGCGTAAAAATGTTGAGCAATGGAAGAGGCAAGTCGCTCCCACCGCTTTTTAACAAACAAGGGTGAATTCCATCAGGTCCTGGGTAAGTCGAGGAAGACAAGCGGGAGACTTGACCGGAGATTTTTGCAATAGTGAATTCCACTGTGCATAAACTTTCAGCAATGTGTGGTGTGACAAGCGCTGGTGTGGCTAGCGGTTCATCAACCATTGATTCGGCGAAATAGGCGCTGAAAGCCTCACAAATTTCACCCTGAGCATCAAGGTATGTGCCATCCGGCATAATAATAAAATTGATGGAATTACTGCGACGCAAACCTCTGGCACGAAACAGTTTGGACAGTTCCGTTGTTTTATTCGGGCCATTCAAAGCTTTGTATTCTTCTAATATGAGATTGCGAACATTTAGATGCCCGAGTTCCTCGATGATCTTTGCTTGCTGCAGTATTAGCGCAAAGTCTGCTGTTAATCGAGATGATATCATCAGTGCGTAGTTGAGTGAGGTGCACTAGCGTCGAGTAGTGTAGAGGAGCCTCGGTTAGAGTGCGCTGAGCGTGGTGCGCGTGCACGCATGCGATTGGTGACGAAACGTTTGTAACAAAATTGCTACGCTCATCGAACAGTTCAAACGCCAAAAGAAATAATGTCAATTCAGTAGGGTATATGACAGTTTGTAATAGACATACCACCTATCACTGAGGCTTTGCTTATTGTAGCATTTTAATTTGTCATCTACATCTGCAGGTACAGATATTAGGAGCATTATAAAGTCGTTAGTGGATTCCACAATGGTCGCTACGCACGTCTCAGAGGCACTAGTTAGCTCACGGGACTCTACTACTATAAATATGGGCGGGAGAGATGAAGATCCTTTCTTTATTTGGTCCCAGAAAGCTTCACCAAGGGCAGGGTGCTGGGCTTGAACACCGATGGCATACTCGGAAAAGTGTTGACAGAACAATCCATCTGTCGGTAAGGAGTAAATAAACCCCCGACAATGATGAAGCAAAAGATTCGTATTCTTCAACTAACATTATGGCAGTAGCCACGTCCAAACAGACGAAAACGCTGTAGAACTTTCGTACTTGAGGAATGTACCATGTATATCAACGGTCATGAGGTGATGTGCCATGAGCATGCTATCATTATGATTGCGAAATATAAACAAATATAATGCAAATGTGAAATATTTGCAACCATAATTGTTGAGTAATCCATAAGAATGGGGATTTTTCAGCAAGTCACCTTTGGATCAGGCGAATTCGAACTAGTTTAGCAGGCCATTCATTCATTGAAGAACTACTACAGTTCAAGTGAGAATTTCTTGACAAGTACCGGATGGAACGAACTGACTTCGCATCTGAGAATTCCACGGGTTGAACCATCTGGTAGGCTGCATGGTCAAAGTTTCCGTGAATACCCAATCAGTGTATACCGGAACCTCGATTGTACTGAAATTCATAAAGGATATGACATGGGGCAGTAGTACACATCCAGGGTAGAATGTTTAATCATAGACTAAATTTTTATTTGAATTTGGCTCTTTGAAAAGTTCTGTAATTGAAAGGCATAGTGGTTTGAATGGTGTTATCTACATAAACCTGAGAGAAAAGTCCATTTCACACTGAATAGATATTTCGAAAATGTACTTTTATACACAGTCGGCCCGTAGCCTAGTGGTAAGGAGCTTGTCCCGTAATCTTGCGGCGCGGGTTCGAGTCCGCGTAGGGCTGGGCGTTCTCGCGGCATGCACATCCCGCGTGCGCCCGGTGGTGGTCGCACGGCAGCGAAACGCCGTTACGGCGTACAGCTGACACATTATTATCTGAAAAGCACGGTAAGAAGACGAAAACTGGTAGATGCATGCATTTCGTATTGTCTCCTCAGTACCATTAACAATAACCGGTATGCAACTATGTACTTAAATATGTGTGTGACCGAATAAGCATGGGGTGCAAAATGAATGACGGAAGTTTCACCCCTATGTCCACGGCAGTCTTAAGCTGATAAATAATTGCTTTTGAACACACAGGGTCGGCTTCAGCCGGCTCATCGCAACGGCCTCGGCGAAACGGAGGAAGCGGGGATTAGGGTGACGTAATACAAGTGTGAACGCTGATCCAAGCTCTATCTGGTGACGCGTAGTCAGTAGGTGCTTACCTATTGAGGAAGCTGGCGGCTTGCGCAAGCACGGAACTTCAGTGGGACAGGGATGCTGGTCACTTTCACGTTGAACCCACCTTGGCACATGTTCCTTTATTCGGGAAGTCAAAGACCGATTGGTTCTGCCTATGTGACTGTTTCCGCAGTCGCACACGAATTTGTATATGCAGTGTGAGTTGGCCCCTATCGGTTGAGCTTCCTTCGTTGGAGGCACCGGCAAGTTACAGGTTCTATTGATGACCACAACCTGAGCAGCACAGTAACTTCTCTGCGTAGCAGAGATTAGACGTTTCGTGGTTTTCAATACAGTAAAGTCACCTTTGAAAGGCAACTCGATATAGATCTTTTTCTCGGCTGCCGTATGCACCAAGTCTTTTGGGCCTCGCTGTTGACTGTGCTTCTCTATAAATCTACGTGGATAACCATTTGCAATGAGTGTTGTTGTAATTAACTTTAGCTCGTCGGCTAGACAATCAGCCGAGCAAATTCGTCTAGCACGAGTAACTAAAGTTTTCACAAGTGTCCGCTTGTACCGCACTGGTGTGAAGCTGGTGAAGTGCAGGTATTGGCCGGACCGGGTTGCTTTCCTGTCTTATTATTATTTTTATTATTATTATGATACCGTTTTTTGAGCGGTGGCAATGCATTGCTTAAGAGTTATGTACACTATCTACACGATGCAACCTGCTGAAAATGTGGCGTCTTGCCAGTGCCTGTTTTCAAACTGCTATTTTCTGTTCCAACTACTCAGATGGCACACCTCAAATGCGCCACTCCTGGTGAACAAGCATATCAACAGATTGTGAGCCAGAAACTGATTGGGCTGCACCACCCCGTCCCACAGACAACCTCTTCCGTGCTAAGGGATCTTATGCGGGAGCTCAGTGCAATCCAGCATGACGTTCAGGTAAGTAAACCAACGATTTGATGCAAATATGCCTAGCCATTCGATTCTGCAAAACAGCAATATTGCTTCAAGGTTGGTTTGCGGCCACTATTTATATCGCCAGCCCATGGCCTTAAGGATCACACGCCTGTATTGTAATCCGAGGGCGCGGGTTCGAGACTGCGTAGCGGACCGGGTGACCCTCGGCAGTATCCATAGGTTATGTGCGACCGGAGGTGGTTGCGCGGCAGCAAAGCGTCGGTATTGCACGTACCGGTGTGCTGCTGATGCCCTTTTTTATTACACTATTAGCACAATCTGCAGTTAGTCCAAATGGAAACATTGCACCGGTTAATAGGAACGATAATCTGATCGCCACACATCAGCCCTGAGGTTCTTACATTAATTACCACCGTGTGTGCTCAAAACTGGCAAATAAGCGCATTCGGTTGGATAGAACAGACATGTGGCGCAGTTTGCTGAGACCTAGCAAATACTTTCGACTTGAACTTCATGAAATATCCTTGGAGCCGAGCGAGAATTCATGATTTCAAAAGGGTGTGAAAACATCCATTTGGTGTAGTTGGTTGCTGACCAACTAAATCAAGTCAGGCAAAAGCACTCACTGCACCATTGTAGATCACTGTCTGGCATTCGATGCATCGGTTATACATCGGGCCAATGGTATATTGTAGATAAAAAAAAGCCGAGGCCTAACACGTTCCGCAGAATGTTGAACAAAAGTTACAGTAGAAAACTAAAGGAAAACCATAAACGGTGAACTACCGAAAACAGGGTAATTTCGGGTAAAATTTTGTTCGTCTGAATCGTTCACAAACGGTTTTATGCAACTTGGTTTTCCCAGAAAAACGGGTGTAGGTTGATGCGATTTTGTTTTCGGAATGTGTAAATGATGCATGTATGTAATGGGAGGTGGTGTAACGTGACAAGCTCATTGCTGACAATGTTTGGACACAACCAATGTAAGGACTGATAGCAGGTTCCGGGAGTGAATTCCATGTGTCATCAGGATAACACATGGTGGGACCATACCTGTTGGTAAAAGTGGCAAACTTACCTCTTCCAAGCCGCATAAGGAAAATCATAAATCAATGCTGATGCCAATCAGCTTCTCCCCCCAGCTGGATATCTAGGAGATCAGATAATGCAAATCCGACCCCATGTTCATGTGCTGCTGTGGTGGCGTTCCGGACCCAGTAGAACATGTAACCATCAGCAGCCTCATGCAGCTTACCTTGGTCAGCGAGCCGAGTCTCGATGGATGCAGCAATATCGATCCCGTGGCTTGCAGGCCCCGTCGCTAGGGCTGCTCACTCGAATTCCGGTTGAGCTCTGAGCGCACGTTCCATCACCGGATGTTGAGTGCTTTGCGCGCTGGCAAACTATTGCGGTGGCGGACAATCGCACTCGTAGTTACCTGCATTGGAAGAGAACATGCCCAGGGGAAGCAGAAACAAGACATGCGCCAGTTGTGACTTGTTTCCCCTTATTCACCCAACTATAAGCAACAGATAAGGCGACCCTTTTCCTAGTGCCACTGCGCGATGGCCGATGCAGCATGGATTCATTATCATGGGCGTAATTCACACTTGAGGGGCTGGACTACGGTACTGCCATGCATCCACATCTGACAGGAGAGCGACTCGGGTCCTCAGCCCCAGTCTTCGCTAAATTATGCACCCTAAAGGCAGCGGGCAGTGCGCCGAGACTGTGAACCGACACATGCGGCATTCTATGTCCTGGATTTTTGCTAGACGGAACATGTAACCCAATTCTCAGCGGATGCCACGAGGAGGCACCTAGGAAATAAGCACACAGCACGTTAGGAGCAACACGTCAACGATCTGTCAGGATCAAGCCACCACAAGTCTCGGTGTACTATAGACGCTCCCATCTTATATATATATATATATATATATATATATATATATATATATATATATATATATATATATATATATATATATATATATATATTCATGTAATCATGTGCTGTGCTTTTGATGCCGCTTGTGCTTACGGTGTTCGTGTGGAGTACCATATTGATGATGGGTTGCTGAACATCCGTCGCTTCGGTGCCAAAACTCTAGTCTGTGAGACAACTATCCGTATGTTGCTGTTTGCTGACGACTGTGTTGTTTGCACCCCGCGCGGATAAGTTGCAGTCCAAGCCTAGCGCTCTAGCTTCGACAGCGGCCAAATTCTGGCTCACCATCAACACAAGCTAAACTGTCTGTCTCTTTCAGACTTCACCGGAGGTGTAATCTTCAATATTGCCACGAATCAGCATTGGCGCTGAAGTACTGGAAACTACCCGCTTCTGTTACCTTTGGGGTGTGATGTCGACGGCTCAGCAGCTACACAGTGAGCTGCGTATCCGCGTGTGGAAGGCAGTGGCGGCATTCGGAAAGCTTGAGTAACGAGTGTGGAACAACCATCAGCTTATCATTGGCGCGAAGCTGATGGTGTACAAATCCATGGTGCTGTCCGTTCTTCTATACGGCAGTGAAATGTGGTCGATGTATTGAAGGGATTGTGATATCTCGAGCGGTTCCATCAGCAGTGTTTGCGACGGATTTTGCGCATTGGTTGGGGTGACAGAGTTGCTGAGATGGAAGTGTTGCGACAAGTGGGATGTATGCAGTGGACTGCATACATTTGCTGAGACACCTGAGGTGTTTCGGTCATGTGAGTCGTATGGATTCCACGCGGATACCGAAACAACTATTATATGGTAGCAGACTATTGAGAAGCGGCATGTGAGGAAACCAAAATAACGTTACCAGGATGTGATCAAAATGAGCCACTCACACTCTAATCTTGATTGCAGGTCATGGAATTCGAAGGCGGTTGATCGGCTTGCACGACGCGATCTAATCACGAAGGTAGTTGCCGAAGTGCAGAAGAAAGACCTCACAAATGCAGAGAAGAAGCAGCAATTGCGGAAGCGGCAAGCACCGATAGGTTGTACTCCATCGACATCGAGCACATGGTACTGTAGCACATGCGGTCGCGAGTGCCTGAGTAAGGGAGGCCCAGTGAGCCATGAGCGAGGCCACTCGGGACCACCACTGAAGCGACGATGTGTCCTGCAGAGAACGTAGGCAGAACTTGCGCAGCGTTCGTAGGTCCGCTGCATTCGATTTGCTAACCGCGTGCTTGCATGCTTCATCTGTTTATTTCAGGGGGTGGGATTTCAATTTTATCCTATTGCTTTTCTTTCTCATTTAAATGTCTACCTATACTCTCTTCTATAAACTTGCACACGTCGCTTAAGCCAATTATAGTTAATTTCGATAATATTTCCGTGTTTGTGGCATTTCCGTAAAATACACTTTCCGACCTCGTGAGCTTATCTCGGATTCGTTTGTAAACAACTTATTTCAAATGCTCATTAATTTAAGATTTATATCACCCTTTCTTTATGCATTACTCGATTTATTTTCTTTGTTATCTTTCAAGTGATTGGCTGTTGCTTGATATCCTCCGTGTGGCTGTGCTTGATGTGCATGTTGACAAGGTAGCTGCCTGTCTAGTATCCGCTACCTCGTTCATACTGGTTCTAGGCGACAGCTGGTCGTTGCTGGAGGAGACGGGGTGCACGGTCCTTGTGGTCGTGTTGTGCTCTAGTTGTGGTTCCATGCACTCAGTGTGGAGCGGACTACGGTCCAGCCACCGTCTTCTCTGTACTGGATTCCCCAAATACAGTGTGCTTGTATTTGCCTGTGAAGGAGTGTTGGCCGGCTCCGTTGATCAAACGTGGCTCCCATACGCATGCCTTCGGGTCTTATTCCTTCGGGTTTACACTGGATATGGGATGTGTGAATGAAAGTGTGGATGGTGGAGCGCATGCCATCCATGGTCCCTCTGTAGGCGCAGGCGTCCTGTGGCTGGCCACAGTGACGAGCAAATCCGAAACCGGATGCCGCCATCCCGATATGTATATACATATATATATATATATATATACATATATATATATATATATATATTAGTGTATAGTAGTGCATGGGCTCGGATGGCAAAGACCGCAATGTGGTCAACCGTTATCTTGGCGTCAACAAATGGAATCGTTTATTTCACGTCTTGCTTTCGTTGGATCCACATGCCTTCTTGATTGGGACCAAGGATGAAAAGTGACGATAGCTAGGAAACAGTTCAGGATATGGAGCGCAGGGGAAATCAGAAAAATGTTTGTATACATAGTTGTATTGATTAAGGTGGCTCATGCTTAACTATTGAAAACGACAAAAGAAGGACAAATGGCGAGTGGAAAAAAGGACAAAAAGTTCCGTTCTTGTGGCACATTGGTTGAAGTGTATTGCTCATTTTTAGATAATACGCCAATCTATAAACATATATATATGTATATGAACAATCCCGTTGGTGATAGCTCACACTTAAGTTTGGACAAACGCATGTGCATACGTTGTAATCGAACTGTCTTTGGACACAGATGACGACAATCTATGTACATATGTATACCGAATGAATTCGACGAGGTTCTTCATACCGCTTTTGTACGGCAAACTTAGTGCAGTAAAACGACATTCGAGCAAACCGAAAATAAGATTACCAGAACATGAAGAAGGTGAGTTTATGACAAACTGATGTTGATTTCAGGTGTTGCGAATCCAAGGCAACTTTGATCGATGCGAATTCCGTGGACTGCTCAAAAGGGCGGTTTCTCAGGTGCCGGAGAGGGCACTATTGTATGCGGAATAGAAGCACCATGAGTATGTTCCCATTCAGTTTACTAATCCAGGCCAATAAGGCGGCGTATGTGGTACGTTTGTCTGCGTGATGAATAATCTTGCATTTCAGAAGTAGATGTTGCTTGAGATGTGAATGTCGACAAGGTGCCTACCTGTCTATTACCCACTACCTCGTCCATACTGGCTCCAGGAGACAGTTGGTCTTCGCTGGAGGGGACGGAGTGCACCGTCCTCTTGACGGTGCTAGGCGCTAAGATTGGTTCCATCCTGTGTGGAACGGGCTGCAGTCCAGCCACTGACTCGAATAACTCTGGTGTGTATGATTTCCCAATTAGGCCGGAGTGCTTCCGTTCTGCTTGTTGAAGGATTGTGGGCCGGCTCCGCTGATGAAACCTGGCTCCCATCCACATGCCTCTCGGTCTTATTCCTTCGGGTTTACACCGGATATGGGGTGTGTGGGTGGAACTATGGGTGGTGCAGCGCAAGCCATCCATGGTCCCCTTTGTAGGCGCAGGCATACTGTGATTGTCCCCATGGACGTCACAGTGACAGGCAAATCCGTATACGGACGCCGCCAAATCATATATATATATATATATATATATATATATATATATATATAGCTCTTTTAGTTTTACCACAGCCGATTTTTGCGAACCTATTCTTGCTACTCTATATAATTTTGCTTCCTGATTGGTAGAGCGTAGGGGAATCTAAGACTTCTTAACCTGAACCCCTTGCATGATATCGATAGATTCTTTTTAAATAGTGCCAACAACGAACTTCCGTAACCCGCTGCATCGGTAAGAGCAAGCATGGTACAAAATTAGCAATTAATTAAAGCGAGTATAATTACTTTTTCTACGTTACAGTTCACGTTAAGTTAACATGTACCGTATTTGTTCTCCAACATTTATCGGCGTACCTTATGAGTGTTAACATGGTAATTAGGATGACATCCTATTTCAGCACTTCAGTCAAACACGAACAAAGAAATCAGTGACAAACACTGAGACGAAAAGGCGACCTAACTCTGTCGACCGGCAATATTCCATTAAGAAACAAACATCCAGGCGCAACAAACTTACTCTGGAAGAAGTGCCCGAACATGGTGTGGAAAGTGAAAGAGCATTGAAAGATAAGGAGCAATTGGCGAATGTCCAGCGAATCGACGTGTTAGCCTCAGTCACCTCCGAATCTACTTGTAGTGTAGACGCACTTGGTGAAATCAGTATTGGACTACCAAGTAAGTTGACCACCTTTATACTCACAGGTTATTCGCAATACTGCTTAAAGACTGACCTTTGTTGCCCTTCTTCTTCCAGTTGCGCTATATGCACTTAAAATTCGTGCAAACCGAAGTCATCCTATGTATGTTTTGTCATCCCCTCAGGTCTCAGCCAATCCACCCGTGCAACTCGTGGCGTGTTGCAAAATTTCAGACAATCCATTTTGGTGAGAGATCCTCGAAAACGGATTGCCGCCCAAGAAGGTAGCCGCATGTTGCTACAAAGTCAGACCTTGAAACAGAGGGATCCGATAATGACAGGTAGGCTACGAAGCCTATGTGATGTCAAAAGCAGATGAAAGAAATATTTGCCCACCCATTTTGTTTTTATTTGTATGTAACTGTAGAAGCCTGATGAGGAATTATCGAAAACAAATGTCCGCTTACACTAAGTTCTGATTCTACTCTAGGGTTTTTCAAAAACATCGATTTGTTGCATTCCTTTCTTAGGTATACTCAGGTCGTACTGGTAGGGCGACGAGAAACTAACAGAAAACACAACATACGTGTGATTTAACATAGTGGTGTTAGAACACCATCTTACTCTTCAATTTCAGCGTTTCAGTTGCGATAAGGAACACGCCGTCAGCACCTTATGCTTATCTATTGTAAGCACGTAAGTTATACCTATTGTGCATCCTCAGAGTTGATGAGTACGATTACAACTCTGTTGGTTAACTAATCATGTGAAGACAATCAAGAGGCCCGCAAATGGAGTAACAGATTTACTTCGGAATCCGAATCATGAAAAAGCGGGCCGGAATGCTCCAGTTTTATCAGCCTGAGGCATTCTAAATGGAAACCACAATGGTTGTTAAGAGTAAGGGAGGAATTTTTCAATCGACCGCACCTATATATATATATATATATATATATATATATATATATATGTTTTTCTGCCATATAGATTCTGATCAAGATCTAGCTCGAAAGCAGCATTACACAGAGCTTCACTGTGTGAAGCATTATGAGTTATTTCAAACATTTACCTTATTGGTATCAGTACCGGAATATTCGTTGTTTCTACCATTAGGTATGATTCAATTACCAAGGTTTTACACTTGAAACTATACGCCTCACTAATCGAGTTGTGTGTGCCGTAAATGTCTCTATAAACAGCCCCTTTCCGACATGTTTCTAAAATAAACTTCTGTTTGCTTCAGCCTCCACAGAAAGTGTTAATCGGCCTAGTCGACCTATGCGGAAAAGGAAGGACCGTGACAGGTAAGTACTGGAAGATGATTGTTGTCAACGCTAACACGTAGGACGCGTGCCAAACACGAAATAACGAAAAAGCATGGGGCATCTGGGTCCACCGTCTAATTGGCGGAAGACCACAAGGAATGGAGCACAGATGAGCGAGAGCGGGATCAGCGTAGCTAGAGTCTCACCAAGTAGAAGCAAGTGAAGGGCATTTACGATCAGTAAAACAAATGGGAAATTGGAAGAAAGCGACCTAATGTTGCAATATACTCTAAGAGTAACTGGCTCAGACTCACCATGAACGTTGAAGTCTCGCTGCCGGGCATGTCACTCATCCGCAACTACTGGCTTACAAAAGGAGGATGGATAATTCGGTATTACCGAAGCGGTCTACAGTGCGAGGTCGTGGGGATTAAGGCTCGCAGTTCTCACATTCTCTTTGGTGCCGCGTGCAGTTGAATGTCAGTGACACTTGCCTTATAATTTTGGTGTACCGCTCCCAAACCATATGTTTGAAATGGACTGCTACCTTACGATAGATTTAAAATGCATATTAAAAGGAAAGCACACGCACATTCTTATCATGCAACATTATGAGGTACATTGTTTCGAAACCCGTACTGGGGTCGGTGCACACTTCAAAACAGATCTGCAAGAGCTCGTAACCAGTTTTCAACTTTACAATCACACCATTTTACTCACTTGTTCCAGAATAGGTAATAAACCATCTTTACTGGATCTTGATTTCACCAGCGAGGGACATATGATCGATGTATTCGTTGTAGACTGCCAATTAGATCGCATTGATCATGTAGTCACCAGTTCCACCTTCATCTGTCTGGAGGAATATCGTCAAGAGAACCCTGTGATGGTACCTACCATTACATGTTAAGACTGCTTAGTCCAGATTGTCAGTGCCACAGCCTGGTCCTTCCTCTCCGAGGACCCCCTGGAAGTCTCCCGGATCGAATTAAACAGCAAATTCTATCAGTTGATTACGAATGCTTCGGAGAAAGTGTTTGTCATTGGACTAAAACCGTTCTTTTCGTCAGGAGGAGAACTCGGAAATGGAAGTTAGTACACAATGCAGCACGGCGAGGGCATAAATAATCTCCAACACCAGACAGGACAACTACATATCCCAGCGTACCCAGCACAATCAACTGCTCAGAGAAGACACAGTCCTGTATCATAAACCATGGCGAAACGTTTCAGCGCTAAACATAAACTGTCGTACAAGTATGTCAATGGCCGTTGTAATGTGAGGCAGTAGAATCCTCCACTTTGGTGAGCTGATATTCTAACAAGAACGGCTAAAGAAGCAGCAAACGCTTTGTTGTCCCTCCTCCTGGACTCACATGCACCTCTTATACTACCGAAGCTGTATTGCAGAACCTGACGTCTATGCACAACCACAGCAGCAACAAGATAATTGGCATAATATTTGGCTCAATTCTTTCAGTATCGCTTAGACCAGCATCAGGTTCCTACCATGTCGGAGCCTGGAATAATAACTGATTCGGAAAAGCGGAAGCAAGACTGAGCCCTAAATCTGCCGCCAAGTATCTCTTGTCCCTGTACTGACCAAGATAATGGAGTACACAGTTAACGATGCATTGGTGTGCTATCTATCCTTATTGCTCCCAAGCAACACGGCTTTCGTGGACGACGATCATGCACAGTGAATTTATTAATCGTACGAAGTAGCCTACCCGGGTCATCAGACTCTGCAGAGGCCGTTGATGTGATCTAATTAGATTTGTCGAAGGTATTTAACCATTTAGATCATTAGATTCTCCTTTACAAACTCCAATATTACGACATCGGGGACCCTCTCTTAAGCTGGTTCGCCAACTTTCTCCTGCAACGACAGTTAATGCTCAAAGTCCGGAGCTCCTTATCTGACCACACAAGTCGAGTGTGGTGTGCCTCAGGGTTCAGTTCTAGTGCCACGATTGGTTTTGGCATTTATTAGTGACCATGTACATAAAGCGCTTCAAAGTTCCTACTGTTTAGTGACAACATCAAGAATTCGCACTGGATTCATGTGGATGCCGAACAAGCTTTGTTTCAGTGTGACACAGATGTTGTACATCAGTGCTAAGCCAAAAGCTCCCGCATTTCCAAGTGACCAGACGTAAGATATTTTCCGCACGACACCAGAGTGCCTACTCATACATACTAGGAATCCAAGTACTGCATCGATCTTCCGTCGAACGCAATCTGGACTTGCTGATTCCGGATAACATAGATTGACGTCGGCAATCCGATGAACCATCAAAAACTGGTAACCAACACGTCGGTCTGTTGCGACGCGCATTCGGACAAATAGACATACTTATTCTCCAACGGATGGTCAGTGCAAATGTTCGCCGCCGTCTCTAAAACGCAAATCAGGTCTATCAGCCATGGCTGAAGCACGACCTCACTGCACTGGACCAACCTCAACGTCCGCTTTTCAAATTCGTTATTAGAATACGCAATCGACCATACGAGCAAAGGCTGAGACGTTTGGGGGTTTTCGGTGGACGGTATCGCCGAGTACGGGGCGACCTGATAATGATGCACTTGATTTCAGACAAGCCAGGTCATGTGTGCAGTCCTTTACTGCAACTCACCAGTAACACAAAATTGAGAAGTCACTCCTTGAAACGGACAGAACAGTACAGCCGGCTGGAGTGCCGTAGAAATTGCTTTTCCATTCGCGTGTCACCTGTGGAACGTTCTCCCCGAATCGATCGTTTTGACACCGACGTGAGCCAAATTTAAGGATTGGTTGGACGACGCACTCAGCCACTTACATTTCTTCACTCTCGGAAAACACCTTGGATTTATTATTTGTCGCTTGTTGGATCTGCGAAACTACGTAGAGTACAGGGTTAGTGCATTAAAAAGGAAAAGTCTACGCTTGACAGTAAATGTACTATCTGCATTTTTAATTAGTTTTTTAAATAGCACACTCAACCAGGCTTGTAAAGCAGTGCATCTTAACTCGTATAAAGTCACCGTTCATTGTACTGGGCCGGCGCATTCCAGTAAGCCTAAATAATTCCATTGACAACTGCTAATGGTGGTGGAATCAAAAGACTGTACTCTGGGTGTCTAAGCACCACGAAAATAGAGTGATAACTCCAGAACGTATAAGAAACTTTCACAATCAAGTATGAAATACTGCTTTGCGGGAGTTTTTATATTCGAAAACATGAGACCTTAGATCAGCTAGCTTTGTGGAATACCTAGGGAACAGGTTGAGCTCCTTCACCACTGAGAGAGGCTTGGATAGTTTAAGCAACTTAAAAATTCCCATTTAGAAGTTTAAATTCACAGCATGTTATCTAATTGTTTGCCGACGAAATGCGATAATCAGCTGTTTGAAAAATAAAGCGTCGTAATTATTTTACCGGCACATGTCCACCGAAGTATAGTGTACAGCAGCATATGTTCTAATAGCAACAAGCTACCCTTTAAACATGATGAGAAAAGTGCGTTATACTTAAGGTACAGTGGATCGTATTTTAGCATAAGCTGGAGCTAATGCTCTGTTTACGCAAAACTCTCGTAGGGTTGGACGACCGTTCTACGATTTTTATAAAATATCTGGAAAATACCAGCTTGAAAACAATGTTTTTTTTGCGTAGGCCCCACATAACAACATCGGATGAGGCCCACGTCACGAGAATGTTAGAAGAATCGTACTTTCCGGGTTTATCTGACCGATTTGATGACTCTGGAAGCAGCGATGAAACACAAATGACAGTTGGACCAGCAGCGGCGGCCGCAATTGCCACATCGCTCTATGGTTCGGGTGCGTTTTTTATTCCATTGTATTTCACATCAAAGTTTATGATATCTTTTAAAAATGCTCAATAAGTAAAACAAAATATGCTCGACTATGATACAAACATAGTCTTTGATGTGATTATCGGCAGCTGCCCCCGAATTTGCTTGCTGCTGCGATAGCGACTGTCAGTTCAAGTCAAGTCAGGTGAACTCATGGATAAACTTTTAAGCTCCAGGTAGGGCTACCATTCACTTGTAGCACATTTGTAATGCAATGGATAAAAATGAATGTAGTACATGCAGTTGCGCTAAAGGAGCAGTAAGAAATGTTTAGGATGCATCGGAAATTCACTGGTAAAATTTACTAGTTGGTTCTTTGATACTAACCTTGGCTTAGGCATGACTAGTACTAAATACAGAATGGTTGATGTTCCCTAAACTCGTACGCGACTATGGTCTCTCTGTACTTATGTCTGGCCGTTGGGATTAGTGCAATATGCATTTATTGGTTCATGTTCGTGAGTGATACTAGAATATATTTCGTATAGAAATTGACTCAAGATCCAATAGTTAACTCCAAAGTTGGCTTCGAAATATAGTTTTAGCGAGAAAAGATGTTCCGGTGACCAGTCAAGTGTCTTGAAATGTTTACTAAGTAGGTATGGCCAAAATCACGAATAACCTCAGTGCGGCAGAATACACGCCATGAAGGACCGGAGAGTTGAAATGTAAGTAACTGGGAAATCGCATACGAGAGACAAGACGAGTCACCAGCTTATAGTGAACACATCATTTGTAGTAAGTAATTAAGATAAAGCATAGCTTTGTGTGAATTCCAGTTAACTCACTGACAAGATGCAGCTCAAGATCTCGCCATCCACGTGAAGCTGTAGTTAGTAATTTATAAGTTTCGGATAACGAGCTGCGTGATGCAGCGACAAAAGTCATTGCGTTTGAATATATTCAGCTGGTCACAGCAAGCTTTTCACCATTTCACAAATGGCATGATAAGATGATGTCTTTGAAAGCCAAAGGTTCAAAGAAATAAATTTCTCAGCAAGGGAATAATGTGCATCCGTGAGTTCACCAAGGATTGGCGGCATCCGTATCCGGATTTGCCTGTCACTGTGACTTCCATGGGGACAGCCACGGGACGGCTGCGCCTACAGAGGGACCCTGGGTGGTTTGCGCTGCACCATCCACAGTTCCACCCACACACCCCATATCCGGTGTAAACCCGAATGAATAAGACTGGGAGGCATGTGGATGGGAGCCACTTTTCATCAATGTAGCCGGCCCTGCAGTCCTTCAACAAGTAGAACAGAAGCATTCTGGCCTAAATGGGAAATCATGCACAACAGACGTGCACAAGGCGGTGGCTGGGCCGCAGCCCGTTTCACACAGGATGCATGGAACCACTCTTTGAACCTAGCATCGTCACCAGGGCGGTGTACCCCTTCCCTTCCAACAACTACCAACTGTCTCCTAGAGCGAGCAATCGAGCTGGAGGGTATTTGACAGGCGCAGTTATACCGGGGGGCTTAATCAACATCGAACTTCTGAAATGCAACAATTCACATCACGCAAGCAAACATAACGCATACGCCCTTATTTGTCTGAATTAGTAAGTGGAATGAGAGCGTGCACTAGTGCCTTCTCATGTACCTGGGCAACCTTCCCCTTGATCAAACCACGGAATTTGCACCGATCAACTTTGCCTTCGATTCGCAACACCAGAAATCAACATTAATTCGTCATAAAATCACATTGTTCATGTCCCGGTAGGGTTATTTTCTGTTTGCCTGTGTGCCGCTTCCCGGCACTAAGTTAGCCGTACAAAAGCGGTATGAGTCTCCTCGTCAAATACACAAATATACATGGAATGGCGTCATCCGTGTCCAACGGTAGTTCGAATACAACATATGCACATACGTTTTTCCAAACTTAAGTAGGAATTGCCGCAAACTGGATAGGGATATAGTAAACCTCTTGAACAATGGTACTACAATGCTACTACAAAGGTGCATGGGTTTTTTTGTGGAAGTCAGGTTAACAGCCATTTTCGCACTCATGAGAAGAAGTACCCAATACGAATGGTTGATGTTGTCTTAAACATTTGTACGTGAACATAACTGATAGCCTTAAATTTTGGGCATCAATATTTAAACGAAACCGATGTAGGAATAGTGACGCAACTGCCATCAGTAGGAGGCAGAATGAGACATAGTGGTGCAGTAAAATAGTGTTCACTTAGGTGTTGCCGTCTATATGTACAGTCTGGTTAGCGTAGCTGATGGAGGATATCGCCCAGCGTGGGGATGCGATGGGGTATTCACTTTAGTCTCTCCGTGTCATCGACCAGTCCGACCACCTGCTGCTCGAGGTACGGATTTGCGCAACCTTAAGCATTGACAGGTGGAAATACGACATATTCGCGGTTTACGGCCTCGTTGGCACGACAACTACTGCCATACGGCATCAACTAAGTCCCGCTGCTCACTGTCAAAGGTGCGGCTTTCCCAACAGTGTTCGCACTGTTTTGCGAATGTTCAAGACGTAGCCTGGCTGTCATCTAAGTACTCAACCGTTTGTACATACCGTTGTGTTGTCTGCTGTGGCCATAATCTACTTGGTAACGATCTGCATCGTATGTCTCGGTTGCAGCCATTCGGTGCTCCTAAAACTCTTTTCGCTGTGCGCCGATTCATCTCGGATGTAATATACTAAGACACTGACATACCATTACCGTTGGCATTGCCATTTTCTTAGTCCATTCAGAACATTGGTCATGTCCAAATCAACTTCTGGTAAACGTCTCTGCGCTTGCGGCTTCAATCCGATTGGTACTTGCGTTTTCATAAGCCCCGGTAAACTCAGTATGGCTGATAAACAACGGGAAATATAACTATGCTCACTCTCATCACTAACCTGTGAAGTGGAACATGAAAGGTCGACATCATGCTAATCGCTAGCCGGTTAATTGTCGGCATTGCTCACTTGCCACGGATTTTCCAGGGTAATCTCTCTTCGGATGCATAGTCCAACGTTGTCACACGAGGGACAATCCTTGAGCATTGTGCTCATTATAATATCAATGCTAGCACAAGTGTTTATTCTTCTACCCGGATTTCGCGAGGATGAGGAACAGTTTGCGTTTTGTCGTCTCTGCGACGAATGGAAGTCATTTAACGTAATACGATTGTCGTAAGGCATCGTAAAATCGTATGCATAATGGATAGCACGTGTGCGAAGATGCTAAAAGCCAGAAGAGCGTTCCAATGCTGAAGAATTCCGAGGGAAACGCAATTCTGGAGCCATACCAACTGGTCATGTTTTAGGGGGGGAGGCAGTTTCAGCTGGCAGCTCTTTTTGTGGCTAAGTTCCAGGAAGTGTTGACAAATAGGACTGGGTTTTACAACTTGTGCTACATCAGGATGCGGTCACCCCGTAGACGGCAGTACCTTCCACTTTACACTCCTAGGGGTTTTATTCGTTGTTACTGTGGGAGGTGGTTTCCCTTCACCGTTACGTCTGCAATGCAGCCAGGTTGCCTTTTAGCAAGGGCTGCAAAGCCTGAATCGCGTACCCCATACGAGGCCCCACATACACGTTGAGCATTTGTGGAAGAATAGAAGGGTCGAGCCGCCTCAGCGCCTTCCTTAACATACCAACATGTTGGTCCCCGGTTTTGGACACCTCCAAAGATGGTTCCAAACATCAAAGGTCCTCTTACATCACCGCCTTAAGTTCATGCTTCCGTGGGGCGTACGTCAAGATGTGGCCTCCAAGCTTATTTGACTTTTTAGGCTTGTGGCATCATCATCATAAATACACTTTAGGTAGAGGTGAGAAAGACATCGAAGCTAATGTACCGCAGCACAATAAATAATATATAAAACGGTACTGACTATTAAACTGGAAAAGCGAGCTATTTGATGCTACATGTCATATTGTGCACTGGGTATGTGATCATTGTTGGAGGGGAAAGCCAAAATGGAGGGGAAGAGACAAAGAACCTCACCACACAAACACCATTTCGACAAGAGTATGCAACTACACGTGCACAGGGTCCTTCGGACCCTTTGAAGTAATGGGGTTCATCTTTCTTGACCAAGTCATCCCTTGGCATCCCCACATGTTCTTCTATCCTGACCCCGATCGGGCAAACAACGCACGATGCTTAAGTCGCGTTGCTGGCATGCGCAACACGTTTCCTGGCCATCGGAGCTTACAAGCGTAATAAAATGGTGCTGAGCGCTTCGCTGGCTTTTCCTAACCAAAATACACGACGCCGTATGCGCACAGTGCTCACGCAGAGTTCCCACCAGATGTGAGCTAAGCTGCGAAGGCCAGGATAGTCGAATGTAACAAACCTCCATATATCTGTTCAACTGAGGTGCCAGGTTTCGCATCCCTACAGCAGGGTTGAACTGACGAATATATGTTAAACTCTGCCCGTCAGAACTAGGGAGATGTCGCGTCAGCGACAATGGTGGCGGACAATGACAAAAGTGACTCGAGTTTTTGCTTTACGGTTCATAACCTTATTTTCCATTTCACAGGCGCTAATATCGCTGCCTACTACTTAAATCTCTGAAAAGATTGCTGACCACAACCAACACTCAACCCAGCAGTTGGCCCTTGCTAATGTTAGAGAAAGACTTTGCTGGACACGTTTGGAAGCTGTCACAGTTAAGGACAATGTCGTCAGCATAATCCAAGTTAAAAAAAATCCCTCAGCAGGAAGCAGCACCATACGTTACAGCTCGTGTCCAGTGAATGCCGTTTCCATGACTTCTTCAGTGGCGAAGCAAAAGAAGTTAGGTGGCAGCAGGCAACCTTGTCTCACACCGCTGGTGAAATTAAAAGGCGGCGACAGTTTGCCATAAACCCTCACTCTGCCCGAACTATGCACTTACAGTGCTCTGCTAACGTCTATGTACTTATCGGTTGCGCCTTTCATAAACAAAAAGTCCCAAAGGCACAGAAATCCACCGAAGCGAAGACACCTTTGATGTTGTCAAG